CACGTCATATCTTATAATGAGCGATTCTATACGAACATCGGCTACTTATGTTAGCTTTTTATGCCGTAGGTTAATATATTTTCAAGACCGCAATATTTTTATGAAACGTTGGTAATTCACCGATGCCGACTTCGATATCAATATCTCGACTCTTTACTCAACACGCGGAATTTTCCAACGCGATAACGCGGCACGCTTCATTTCTCTCACGAGTGCCGGGAACTTTTCGAGTTTTTCACTTACCGATTCGGTCAAGACCGATTTGCTCGACCCAGCGAAAGGGAGGTCTCGGAAAAATCTCGCGAAACACAATCGCGAGAACGGCGAAAAATGTGCCCGTTCGTGAAAATCCTCGACATCGAAATTGAAAATTATTTGGAAGTATAAATTTCGAATCCGCGCGATTTTTCAGAAATATTCCGGCTCGTCCTGCGTGCCGGCATTGCGCCGCGAGCGGTGCTCGTCATTACGCTCTCCCTCCCTCCCTCCTTCCTTCCTCTCCGCCATCCCGCCGCGGAGCGCTTTTATATCGATTCATATAAATAACTGGAATAATGTCCGGCCGAATAAATATTTATTGCGCGCCATTACGAATGTAAATTTCCGTCGACATTCCGCGTTTCGCTGGCGGCATCGTAAAGCGTCTTGGGATCGATCGTGCCTGTCATGCTTTCGCGTTTGCTGTAAAAAAAGCCGCCGGGTAGGGGACTGCCGGGGGCGAGGGGGTTGGAGACGACGGACAAGGGTAGACGGACGGAGGGAGATCGACAAATTTGACGAAGCACCCCTTTTCCTTGGCAGGGTCGTTCTCTCTCTCTCTCTCTCTCTCTCTCTCTGACGGTCCTTCCATTTATATATTTTTTTACTCGCGACGAAAGACGAAGCGCCGTTATGCACGATAAAAAGTTTAATGTCAGAAGACGTCGTCGTGGGTGGTGGGAGAAAGAGAGAGAGAGAGAGAGAACGAGGATGGAAGGGTGGGGGAGGGGAGTCGGTGATGGCAGGGACGCGGTAGAGGGGGAGGGGGGTGAAAGTGCCCGAGGATCGTAATGACTCGATATGAAACCCGGGCAGTGCAATTTCTTTCTTCTTCTGCCCTTTCCTTCCTCCCCCGCTCGTCTCGACGTCTTCCTCTTTTTTCATCGCAGTATTTCCCCATAAAAGCGCCCCGGCATAATAAAAAGCGTTATATAGCTGGCACTGAAAAGTAACGCGTCTCTTTTTCTCTCTCTGTCTTTCTCTCTCGCCGTCTCGATCCCCGCTCTCCCGCTCCCCACTCCCCCGTGCCCGCCGCGACGGTCTTTACGGCCTTATTTGCGGAGACGTAAAAATCGCGAAAATCAATACGGAACTTCTAACATTAAATATTCAGGCTATTGACTGGGCGGGGCCGAGTCAGACATTCGTCCTTCGCGGCCCCTCGTCATTTCTCTGCAACGAAAGACACGAAAAAAAATTGGGAAAAAGGAGAAGGTGAGGCGCGACGGATTAACGGAGGAACGCACGCGGCAAATAAAATACGGCTCGGCAAGTAAGAGGAAGGAAAATTAAACGTGGCGGGGAGAACGCTCGTTCTACGAGTGTGCCGGCGCGAATCGTAACGGAGGGTACTAAGAAAAATCGCTGTCTTTGTAAAAAGTATCGTCAGACGGGGGGGGGATCTTCGATGTTACCACTTTTATCTCGAGATCATTATCAAGCTGGAAAAAGCGTTACAAAGCCAAGGAAGAACACGGGGAAAATTCCCTTTACGCGGAAACGAAGCTTACGGCCAAACGAAGATTGATAGTTGGCGCGCGGCAGTGAAATAGTCAAAGATGCGAGGGGAAAACGAAATTGAGATAGACGGTCGTGGGGCCGGGAGGAAATTCGGAGGAGGGACATTTTTATCTTTTATTCGCGATAATGATTTCGATTTCGCCGGCTCGGATCTCGGAAGACCCGGAGGATGCTAAGCGTGATCGTTATACGCTCCAAACACCCCGGCAGAATCGCAGAGTTGCGCTTTGACGTAAAGATCCCTCGTCGGTCGCATTTTTCATCTCCAGCGCGCGTACGTCATTAGCATCGAGCAAGGAAAGAAGTTTCCACACGACTCCGGAAATTCCCGCGGCGTTCGCATTTGCGCGCGCAGGATCTCGGTGCCAATTTAGCTACTCGTGTTCCGCGTTACACGCCGATATGCGCGACAACGGCCAATTAGCATACAAAGGAGGCGCAATTAATCGAAGGATGTCGCGACAGCGACGCGCTATGAAATAAAATCCAATGGACCAGCCGGAACGTTCACGAGACACGAAGAAATCGACGGAAACAAGAACTCCTTTCGACATCTTCGTCCCGAGGTTTTCCAGTCCCGGCGCTTACCATCCAGTCGTTTAAAAAACTCGGCTCCCTCCGCTAATCATATCGGTTTTGTGACGTCACAAGCGAGAAATGACACGCAGTAAGTTTCTTGCGTTATATATAGCTCTATTTTTTAATTCTCCCTGGAAAGTGATGTCGTAATCTTGAAACCCGTAAAATGTGCAGAAAACCGAGATGTCTGGCCGATATTGTCGCGTAGAATCGCGAAATAATTCTTGAAATAACGGGTCATTTTTCAGCCATCTCAGCTATCACGGCCGTCTGAGTGTGGCTGAAAAATGACCCGTTATTTCAAGAATTATTTTGCGATTCTACGCGACAATATCGGCCAGACATCTCAGTTTTCTGCACATTTTACAGGTTTCGCTATTATGAAATCATTGTGTTTTCTAGGGAAAATTAAAAAATAAAGCTGCATAACGCAAGAAACTTACTGCACCTCATTTTTCGCTTCTGACGTCACAAAACCAATATGGTTAGTGAAGGGAGCCGAGCCATCTTTTATCACTTTTTCTTGGCAAGTCACTAAAAAATTTACTATCATCCAAAATAGGTCACTAAAGTCACTTTTTTGGGGCTGCCGTTAAATTTGCAAAATATAAGCGTTCTACATACATTTTTGCCGCCTCGTCTGCTGCCGATTGTTCTATAAGCGTACTTTGTATATTGTATCATTCATGCTTTTGATCTTTTCTTCTTGTGAACTTTTAAATCGTACTATGAAAAGACCTGACTCTATTTTCAGTTATTCAAAGATAAACTTGCCAAGGTAACTGTTACCTCTTTCGCTTAAATATCCTTAAGTAGCTACTCTCCGAATTTGATCGAAAAAGCGTCACTTTTGGTCACTATCTTGATGTTTGAGAAGTCATCTTTCTGGTCACCTTTCCTGTCGAACCCGTCATTATTTCACTTTTTTCGTTCCGGTGTGAGTGGATGGCGGCGCTTGGAGAGTGCTCGGATCACGGCTCGCGTTTGTATAGACGTCGGCAATTTTGAAAATAGCTTTGTGCCACATTAATGCCGTGATGCGCGTGAGATATCGAGGGTATATGTATATGTGCCCTTGTATAAATTTCCATCGGCGAAAAGAGTTATAAGCGACGCTACGTCGCGAAAATGAAAATCCTTAAACGAGCGCGAGGAGAGCCTCATTGACTTTCATGCTAGATATTTACGTCGAGAGCCGGCGAATGTCCGCGGAGTGTAGTAGCCCCGCAAAAATCCTCCGAACGCGACGAGGCAGAGAGGTAGGAATTCATATTTTATCCGGCGCTCTCTCTCTCTTCCTCTCTCTCTCTCACCCGTCGTGCATTACGTTAGTCGTGCGCGCTCGTTACGCGTGTCAATGCGACTTCCCGGACAATTCCATTCCGCCGGTAATTAATAATGATCGACGCGCCGTCGCGCGCGGATCGGGAACGACGCGCGTGTGTGTCCTTACTTGCCGAAGCGGATAAATTGGATCGTGTTACGTAACGTTGTAAGCCAAGTGACATTTGCGGCTAACCGGGAAAAATGGCCCTCTCGCTGAATTCCGCGATCGTTAGACGACGAGTGGCGCGTTAAATGTTGCCGCGCGTTAATTAGAAATTCGACAAATCGGCTACGATCCATTATAGCGTCCGACGTTAATTAACGCGAATTGATCGGGCCGTGTAGGAATTGGAGCGCCGTGCGGGGACTGACTTTCCCGCCCGGTACAAACGATATTTCAATATTTATATATCGCGACACGCGAACTCGCGCGCGCACGCAAAGTTACCCCACCGGAGCGATTTAACTCGCAGTTCTCTTGCGAGACGTTGGGGGCACTATCGTAACCGTTTCCGACTGAGTCGTAAATGCACATCGGAGTCGCAAGTCAACTCATAATGATTGACGCAAACGTAATCCATCGTATCATTTACATTAACATCAATCTTTGCGCGTTGACCCGCGCGACTCCCACGTGCGCGTTTACGATTCTGCTGGAAATGATCGCGACAGGCGTTGTTCTCGAGCCCATAATTTTTATGAATTCCCTATAATTGCATTCAAAAATGATACAGGACTTTCAGAATATATTACATTCATATATTTTTCCTAAGCGATCGATTGTTTTATTGACTGTAATGAGGAAAATTGAACTTTTCATTTTTACGGTATATTTTCCGTTTCTCCCGCACGTAAGGAACACGATCATTTGAGACTGGAGCGAAATTAGTTACCTTTCCTACTTTACTTCCGTCTCTCTTTTCTGTATTATCCTTTTCTGTGGCATCCTAACTCGGCAGCTGGGTATCGCTTCGCCCAATAATCCTCCAGCATGACGACGAAATTCGAATAACGCTACGATCGCAACGGCGGAGATCACGAATGCACGTAATTATAAGAAGAAACTCTTCCAAAAGACACTTCGCAAAGGTCTCGGGAACTTCGTCAGGGTAGAATCTGACCTCGGTGCCGCATCGTGCAATCGATGCGCGTCCGTCCGCTGCGTGACGTCTCGCGCAGCTGTTCCATAACTTATGTAGAGTTTAAGTCGCGGTGTTATTTACACGTCGGTCTCTCTCGACTCCTTTCTCGTTCTCGCAAAGATAAAATCGCCCCGCGGTAATTAACGATCGCATCGTCCACTCGCATGTTCGCAGGTTGTACTGTCGGCGTGCAGCACATACTTCGACACGATTCTATCGCAGTACGAGGAGAAGGACCCCATCGTCATCATGCGTGACGTCAAATTCTCAGATATCAAAGTGCTCGTGGAGTTCATGTACAAGGGAGAGATCAACATTGACCACGTGAGTACTTATTTTTCCGCAAATTCTCTTCTTCCGTATTATTCCTGGTACTCGTTATTGATTCCACGAGCGATCCCCGTCCAAGGAGTTTTCTTGTAGCCGCGTTAGTCCCGGCGCGTCCAGCGTGACAAAAAGAAAAAGACATATAATTTTCACATTCGCGCGAAGTCATTTCAAAAAAGGTAAGAAGAAGTCACGCGTGGCGATATTAATCCTCGTGGTTACATATCATCGTGGTTTTACTTACATCAAGACGTTAATTCGCTTCGTTAAAAAATAGATGGATTTTATTTTTGCTCTCGGGAAGATCTCCGAGAAGGAATCAAAGTCATGAAATGTCAGTCTGGTAAAAATAGTTGAAATCGATCGAGATAGAAAATCGGAAGCTAAAGCCGGGTCCGATCTCCGAAGGTTAAAGAGCAAAAGCGCGCCGCTCCATCTGTGTGCTTCATTCGATTGCGAGACTCACCGTTTAGTGACATTCTAATATTAAATCTTGAAGAGTGAATAATTGAACGAAGTCCCGACTAGGAACCTACCTCGCTTCATTGAGTGTATCATTATTCACGCGGTTCGGCATTATCAACCTTCATTATCTTAGGCCGTATTTCCATACGGTTCCAGTAATTTAAAAGGATACCGTTTCTCAAGTTACCGCATTTAATGAGTATGGAAGCGCGAGAAAGGGACGTTCGCGGTGCAGCCACGATTATAACCCGAACCAGATCAGGCAAACACGCTCCTGCCGAGATAGAAAATGACGGAGGTTTTTAAGACGACGAAAAGACGCGAAACGCAATACCGCGCGGCGTATCGCGTCCACGAGGCGCCCGTGTATTAAATATTCCCGAGAGGGGGCCGCGAGAGTCTCTCCCGCTTAGGTGTATCTTAGATATATTTTCACTCCCGTGCTCATTAACGTTGCTATTTGCGGGCCGGGCGTTTTATTACGTCGCCGTGAAATAAAGTTAAGCAGTAAAACCCGGGACAATTCTCTCGCCTTCCTCACAGCACTTTTCCAATAACAACAATTTCGCCTAGATAACAGTCGCCCGCGCGGTGTGACAGCTATGGTTAACGAGAGAACTTTACGGGGGCCTCTATTATCTTGCAAAAAACCAACATCTTTCACTCGCGCTACGACGAGCGCGGGTTCTTCGTATACCGCCGGGGGACGTGTTATGACAAGACTCGTCGTATATACCGAAACTACGTGTCGGGAATATCGACTTGTCGCGGTAAATCCACGTAGTCCAGGAAATCAACAAAAAATAAGGAGACGTAATGGCATTTGAGTCCGGAATACCGGTGAAAACACGACACACGGCCGTGTGTGCGTGTGTGTATCCGTCTACCGATCTCGCGCGTGCTCTTACAATGCGGAATTTAGAATCGACTCCCCCCCCCCCCTTCCCTTCCCGCACACGTGACACAACTCTCGAGGAAGATCCGATCGCGAAGGGGGATGATCGGGCGAGCCTGAATTTCTCATTGATTCCAAATTCCGGATTTAATTCGGCGAAACCTTTTATTCGAGCTCGTTGAAATATTTTAATATCGGATGAGGAGATTTTTGCGCGCTCGCGCGCGCGCGCGGAAAATGTCGTCCCCGTTGTGTGGAAAAATTGCCCCCAGATAAGTATCAATGCGGACATACGTTATTCACATTTTCGCGACGACCAACTGCGCGGTGTATTATTATTTACGCGCTTAGAACGACAAGCCGGTATCCAGCGCGGATTTTTACATTTCGCTAATTGTTTTCTCGTGATCCTTGAGACTTTTTCATTCCGGATTAAAGAGAGCTCTCTCTCTCTCTCTCTCTCTCTCTCTCTCTCTCTTTCTCTCTCCTGCGCTCGGCAAATGCAATAATAAAGCCACGGATAATCCTCGCAAGCGCGTTTATATTTATACCGCTACGCTGCTCCTTGCATCTGGGTTTATTAATTATATAAAACGAAACACACAGAGAGCGCGCGCACATCCCCCGGCATCTTATTCGCGGTATTATTATATTTTCGTGTGCTCTAAATTTTTTTTCCTCCTTTTCCCTTTCCTCTCGTTTTTTAAGATTGCCCGAAGTACGTTCCAGGGAAAATGTGCTTTTGCCGAGATTCTCCCGAGATGTCTCGAGTATTTTATCCATCCGTTACTTCACCGGATTACAATATCATGATAACTGAATGCCTTCTTGATTCCGCGGATCTCCGCGGATGCGCTCGAGATCCATACATTTTTCCGAGGTCATCTTCGCGAGATACCCAATTATCTTTTTCAACGTTACTGCGTGCTTGCCAACTGTGTACGTATCGGAACAGCCTCGCGTTAATTTTCGCGTATTTTCACCGAGACACACGCGTTCCCCTCAAAATCCTCGAAGACGCCTGTGCGCTTCTGGTAACTTTGGCACCGTTGGCGCAGCTTCCTCGCGTGTCTCTCTCTCTCTCTCTCTCTTTCTCGTGAGAAGAGGGGAGCAGCGAATTCTTCCAGATTTCTAGTCATGACTGGGATCGCGCGCTGCCGCGCTCGAGCTTTCTCCGGCACGTTTTGTGTCGCAGGCTCCGCGAATCGGGGGGAAGGAGGAGGGGGCTCGCGAAAAATTGCCGAGTGAAAATCACCGGGGCCCGATCCCGGATCGGAGATCGACGGCGATTTAACTAACCCTCCGTGTGACTCGCTGTTTCTCGCTAACGCCGTACGATTCCGTGGGTCATTTGCGAACAGAACGACTTCTCTCGCTGTGTATAAGTAACACAAATCGGCGAACATGTTTAGTGACGTTGCTTCAGGTTTTTACTTTCTGTTATAAAACGTTGTTTAACCTTCAATGTTTACAATTTATTATCTTTTAAGAAATCATACGGGGAAACGATTTTCCTACTCGAAGGAAAAAGTTCATAACTTTTGCACGCATCGGACGAAAACAAAATCTCTGTAGATCCGCGTATCTGAAAGATGGTCCTTCGTAAAAAGTTAGTTTAGAGATGCCCGCTGGAGAAACATAATTATTTGGACAAATGAAAATGATCACTTCCCGGGCACCGAGACACAAAAGCTATATTTCGAAGGAATAACAAATGAATTCTGTTTTCACCTGAAAAATTCCTCGTTTCGAATGAAATAAACATAAAATAATAATAAATTAAAAATAGTAAATAAGCTAACGGTAAATCAGAGTAAAATAACGGTAGTTTCCGAAATTAAAAATTCAATTCTCACATTGATAAATATATATTGCGTTCATAAATACGTTATATTATGAGAGAAAGTACTCGTGCTCACGCGGAAAAAGGAAATTTCTAATAATACTTTCCGCTGGGTCGTTTCGGCAACAATCTCGTCGCCTTGCGTGCTCGCGATTTCCCGGTGAATTGACGAAAACTGGCCGCGCATACGAGAGTATGAACTCTCCTTTACCGGCTATATTCCCTTCAACAGAAATTCCAGATCTCGCCCTTGATTCGATCAAATTTTACGGTCGGTTCGAATTTTTACCGTTCCCCATGAGTGACCCCCACGAATCACACGGAAGGGTTAAAGCTCCTCCGCGCGATCGGCGGGTGAGCGACGGGGGGCGGGAGGAGGGGAGGGTTCGCGGCGATACAGCTTCAGATTTCAGCCTTCTTTTCCGTCACGCCGCCCGCTTTTTTTTCTTCTCCGCGCTCCCTTTTCTTGCCGCCGTCGTTTCCGCGAGAAACGAAAGCGGCGATTTCTGAAATACATTATTCCCGCGCCGCGCTCGCGGCGGCGACGCTGACCCACATAGGCATTTTTCCAATTCCGGCCGTGGCCGATAGAAAGCCGCGCGGCGCGGCCGTTTGTAGAAAGTTCCCATATTATTTAGCATTCGGTCGCGCCGGCGAGCGAGCGAGCGAGCGAGCGCGCGCCATCGGCACCGGTGAAAATTAGCAAATAATAATTGGGGCCCCGTTGTTGCCGCACCACGTACCCGCACGTGCTCGTCGTCGGTTTCGCGATGCGATTTGTTACAGCGCTGAGTTTCTCTGCGGCCGACTACGTATTCGTTTTCCACTAGGGGAGGGGGAGGGGGGAGGAGGAGTCAACGAGGAAACTCGGGACGAGGGAAAACAACGAGATGAGAAAAACAAATCCGCGCGAAGACGGCACGACAACGGTGGAGGAGGAGGCCTGCGTTTCGCTTTTTTGTATTTCCCTCGTTTTAAATCGGGGACTTCGCACGTTACGCGTGTCGGAGCGCGTAATTGTCTTCGCGATCGCGGTGGTTAACAATAATTTTCAGCCGATGATTGTTGTTGAAATGTTGAGAAGTCATCGGCTAAACGCGCTCTCGACGCGGTCTCGACTCGTTGCCGCGCGATGTTATCCCGCATGATAAAATATTCCAAAAGAACCTCATGAATTCGACTCGTACCCGCGGAGCGTGGTCACGGTGGATGAGTACGATTAGAGGGAGAATCGGTTTCCAAATGAAAAACTCGCTTACTGACTCACTTCCGTTCGCTTCAACCTCACCGGCTCTCTCTCTCTCTCTCTCTCTCTCTCTCTCCTTTCGTCGGAGAAGGAAACACTCGCTCTTTTATCCCTCCCGTTCGGCGCGCTTTTTATTAATGCCGTTAATATTAATGCCAGACGTTCGTAATTATCGTTTAAGCCTTTTCCCATTACGCTTCCCGTGTAAATTCATACACGCCGGTTACGATCTCGCTGTTATTCGTAAACCAAGACATCGCCGGTAACACGACGTGCCGACAGATAAATATCCCCCTCGCGCGCGCGTCCCGCGTCCGTCCTGAGTCTTCGGGTAAAGCGAAGATAATAATTACAATAATTGCACGCTGTTAATCGCGGGTATGGGGCACGACGCGCGATTAGAGACGAGTGATTACGTTTCCCGCAGACGAGGCTGTCGTCGTTGCTGAAAACCGCCGAGGATTTACACATCAAGGGTCTCGCCGAGGTCAGCTGGCGCAGCGATTCCGCGCAAAACGACCTGAACAACACCGGCCACAGTCCCGGCGCCGCGACCCCCGGCGTGGAGACCGTTCTGAGGGAAGGTGACGCCGACGAGCCGCCACCCCCCAAGCAGAGACGCAGAGGTCGCCCGCCTCTGGACGATCCACCCTCGGCCCACGACGTATTCACACCGAAGATCACGTGCATCACCGGAAATGTACGGGAGGCAATTTTCGAATCTCTCTCTCTCTCTTTCTCTCTCTCTCTCTCTCTCTCTCTCTCTCTCTCTCTCTCTGTCTTATCTCATTGTGTGGGCCGAATGGCCCGTGAGGATTCGGCGCGATTTGCGGCAGGTCGCGTCAACTTAGCGCATTTCGCTCGCGCGGTTAAGCGGAATTAACGGGCGCTCGCAGTTTCGCTGATACCCCGCGATGCGGTGTGTGCGAACACCGCAACAGCGTTCCAACGTGTGACTCATTAATTATTTGTCACTACGCTTTGGACGCGAGAGGCTTTTTGGTATTTCCGAGATTTCACGTAAAAAATTCCCATGCACGCGGTTATCTCGCTGATAAAATGATTCCCGACACGTTGATTGTCTTTCGGCAATGAAGAATTCCGTACCGTTTCCCCGCGATAAAATCGTCTTCTGGCCCGAGAGGTTCGCGAAAAGGAGAACCGAGAGACTTGAATACGGGCATTGTGAGCCGTACATCTTGCCGCTGCAATGGCGCCGAGCCTCACGCGAATCAAGTACTGTAAGAAGCAGACACGGGCTGGCTCATGTCGTGAATGTAGAAAATTTCGAAAATTTTGTCAGACTCGCGGCGGGTATTACACATACGGACTAACCACGCGCGACTCTAATGTGTCACGTCGAACCTTTTCCCAGGAGGAAATGATGAGCGAGGGCGGCGACCATGAGAGTTGGGACGACGACGTGATGATGAACGAGAATAACGAAACGCCACTGCCTGTGGTAAGACTGATTCGTTAGATATATTTCCCACTCTATCCTCTTTATTTGCGCGCGCGTAATTAAATCATTCATTATGCGATTGTTAAGAGGAGAGGTCTCGTTCTACTTTCTCCTCTTTCTCTCTCTCTCTCTCTCTCTCTCTCCCCCCCTCTTCTCCCTCACCGGCATGGATAGAGATATTCCCGCGCGAGAATCCCCTCTATTCAGTCACCTGACGATGCTTTTCGTGCTTGTTTTTTTCCAGCTGTCCTACATGTCGAAGGATGACAGCACATCTGATCAGGAAAAGAAAGGTACATCTTGGCTCGGTTACCCGATTCGTTCTCTTCGTCCGACTTGAACTCGGTGTCCGGGGGACGGTCGGTCTGACGTAATCGTTTTCATTTGCAGCGCCTAGCACCCCGTCAAACTCCAACGCCACGAATCCGTCGATCCCCGAGCAATTCCGGGACGTGATCAAGATGAACGATTATCTGACGACGGGACGCAGGCAGGAGTTCTGGGAGGAGCCGTTCACGCGACGCGTCATGGACGCGATCAAGAGCAAAGAACTGGAGATGAAGACTGCCGCCGAGATACTCGGCGTCTCATACGGCACCCTCTACGGCAGATATCGCGACAGTTACGGTTGCCTTAAACACCCGTACAGGTAACGGACACGCGCGACGATCGTAAATGCTCGGTAAATCTAAAAAAAAAAAAATAAAAAACCTTTAAAACGGGAACTTTCTTAATAAATTGAAAAAAAAAAAAACCGAGTCGGCACGAGCGCGTGGGAGACGCGAATTTTCACCAAGAATTGGCGAGGAATTTATACTTGTAGAGTGCGGGATTTTTGGTCTGAGCCGGGCCCTGCCGAAGTGCTGGCGAAGCTGCGGAGGAAGGAGATAACGTTGTTTCGCGCCGCCGAAATCCTCAACGTGACCGTCCATACACTGGCGACGTACCTGGCGACGTTGCAGGGTTCGGACAGGGTATTCATAGCCAGCGACGGCCCGGCGCCCGGCACCATCGACGGCAACAACGAGCCGACGGAGAACAGCGATTCGGTGAACGACATCCTGCAGAAGATCAACGCGAACGCCGCGACCGCGGCGACGCTTACGACGACCACGCCGATCAAGCGCGAGGGCGGCGGTTACATCGAGGTGCCGACGGCAGTGCCGAAGGCCGCGACGTCCGTCCTGGAGAACAATCCGGACATCACGATCGTCAAGACCGAGAACATGCGCAAGTACACGAAGGTCTCAAACACGGAGAACAACAACGCGAAATTGATGAGCGGCGGCGCCGTGAGCGAAGTCAGCCAGCAGCAGCAGCAGCAGCAGCAACAACAGAAGCTCGCCGACCCGTTGTCCATGAGCAACGACAACAGCAAACCCTAACTATTCAGACCGTATCTGACACCAGCGAACCCGCGTGCACCACCTACGAGCGCCAGCTACAGATCCGACCTGTGCCCGCGCAGTTTCTATTCCAACGTGTTTACTCGCTTTCTCACGAATTTTCATTTGAAATAGAGAGGCAAGAGAAGAGAACGAAGAAGGCCGCCGACGGTTGGTGCGGAGATATCGTAATCGCCTCGTCGCCGACGTCGCCGCGCTAGGGCGCATCCCGCGTCACGCGGGTTCGTACTCCGAAAGAGTAGCTTTAGACAATCTCGCGCGTAATCGGTCGTTGACGATTAGGAAGGGCCGTGGCTGGCCGTTGGGACGGAGAGGCGGAAACTCCGGCGTACGGCCGACTCAGACCCAGCAAAACGGAAGAAGTGCCGCCGCAAAGCGTGCGAATCGCCGCAAAACGAGCAGAGAGAGAGATAGACGGATGGACGGACGGATAGACATCGAAGAAGGAGGAAGGAAGAGAGAGGAAGAGAAAGTGCGAGAGACCAGAGGGAGAGCGAGGAAATGGAAGATGATGAAGACAAGCGTGCGCTTCGTCGTGCCTTCGAGTCGGTCGCGATTCTCGCCGACGCGACCACGGCCCGCCGGTATTTTCCATTTTTCACGAAGAAGGGTGTTAATGTCGCGCGAAACCCGCGCCCTGGCCCCTCGAGGAGTTTAGTACACCAGCGTTGAAATTTCTCCCGTTTTACTTCACGAATCGGTGTTCGCTTTGATCTACGTCGGTGGCGCGCGCGCGCGTACGCACGCACGCACTCACGCGCGATCCTTGGCCTTCGTGAGGAAAAAGGATTAAGAGCAAGGAAACAGAGGGAAAAGCATATAATAAAAAAAAAAAGTTCAATCGAAGTTCCTTTTGAATAACGATGTAGAGATGTATTATCGCAAAAGAATGCCTAGACTATTTTCTGCCGCATGTGTCTGTATGGTAGCACGTAAAGAGCGACAATATATTCACCACAAGTAGATCCATCATAGTAAGTACACCAGCGGTGTGAGGGGTGACGGTCCTTCGACGTAGATGTTCCTCGTGCGATCGTCGTTAGGATGCATGAGCGCGTTTTCAGTTGGCATTCCGCACGATATATATATATATATATATATATATATATATATATATATATATATATATATATATATATATATATATATATATATATATATATATATATATATATATATATATATATATATATATATATATATATATATATATATATATATATATATATATATATATATATATATATATATATATATATATATATATATATATATATATATATATATATATATATATATATATATATATATATATATATATATATATATATATATATATATATATATATATATATATATATATATATATATATATATATATATATATATATATATATATATATATATATATATATATATATATATATATATATATATATATATATATATATATATATATATATATATATATATATATATATATATATATATATATATATATATATATATATATATATATATATATATATATATATATATATATATATATATATATATATATATATATATATATATATATATATATATATATATATATATATATATATATATATATATATATATATATATATATATATATATATATATATATATATATATATATATATATATATATATATATATATATATATGTATATATACACGAGTGGGAATTTAAATCATAAAAGCGTGTACTATTGGAGAAAGGGCGTCCAATTCGCGCGATGCCGAAAGGGATATACACATACACACGAGAACTGGAGGGGAGTCCTGCCTCACTGAGAATAGCGACGACTTGTATAGATAGTATTCAACCACGACATTTGTATTTAGAAAAGTATTCAAGAGCGCGAGAATTATCGTCACCTCCGTCGGTTTTGCAGAGTGTCCAATAGTAAATCGTTTATGATTTAAAACGGTCGATTTCGATGGAGAGGAAGCCTTAACACGCTAAAAAAAAAAAAATACCGGTCTCTCTGATTCTGTTCACCGATTCGCTCGACGAGATTGATTTCCACGCGTTTTGCTAAGGATGAGGTCGCGTAAGTACCAGGTACCAATGTGCGTTCTTTCCGAGCATACTTCGGTGTGACTAGCATCATATCATGAGGTGTAACTCGAGACTCGCTGTCCCGCACCGGTCGTACCAAAATTGTAAGCATCTTCGGATGCAGCAGTATTATATAATATAAATGGGAACATTTTGAAATACATTCGAGACTTTTTCGTGTTTTTCACCTCCCGAATTTGTAATACAGATACAAAGAAAGCTTCAGGCGCCACCCGGTTTCGCCGAGAAATACCAAGTGTCACTACCGGAAACGCTTCAATACACCCCTTTGGGTATATTTTGACTTGTGAGCGACACGCGAGAGAACATACATTGAACTCGATCTCATCCCTGGTTATCCGATCTTTCGGAGGACGCCGTGTAGAGCGGCTGAGCTCGGTTTTTAAAACGGCCAGGCGCAATTAAGCGAAGGATATTCGCAATTGGCGACGATTTCGCACGTGTCGCACAAGAGAGAAGAGTTCTCGAAGAAAAAAAAAAAGAAAAAAAAACATCGCGACGACTGCCTTTTTTGAGTATTCGGAACGTTTACGGGATTGTCTGTCTGCGCTTAAAATGGTACAATTCTATTTTCTTTCTCTTTTTATACCAGTATGTAACTCTAAACGTAGCGTAGGAACATTTTAGGAACATTAGCTATGTATGCGCGAGGTGTTTCCTTTCTTTTTAAGGGAGAACATTTTTAGTAGCTTTTATTTGAACGATAATCGCCGATTGATATCAAAGATACGACTTGTTTAACGAGACAAATACGAAATCTAAACGTCCATTGTAAATATTGGTGCAATAGCGAAGTATAAAAATTAATATTATTTGGCACGAGAAGAGATTTGTGTCTGTGCGCACTATTTTAAAGGGTGGG